AGCCCGAGACTTGGAGACCGTTAGAGCATCGGACCTTCATGAGAGCTTGGAAACCAGTCTCTCTAGTCACAGCGTGTGAGATCTCGAGTGATAACTTTCGACTATCCCTCGCAGCGATGAAGTTAGGGTAGTAAAAGGACTCTCCGCCAGTGGTTGAGGAAACATGACCTGAAGAAAAATGAGATCAGTATGAGTTTATGACACTTTTAGGGACTGGGCTTACCAATAGTCGCAATATCAAGATAACCACCTGAAGGAGCAGCAAGGAAGAAATCAGCACCGACACCGGAAGCAGCCATCTTCTCGGCAACCTTCTTCCAGGCCGGGTGCTCAGTTGTGTAGAGCTTCTTATCGATTTCGCCTCCAGGGTGATTGCCATTGTCACGCATGAAGAGACGACCAGGGCCCCAGGTTGGCAGCGCAGAGCAAGATGCCACAACCTTACCTCCCGTCGCCTCGAGGGCAGCAAGTGCTGAGTTCAAGGCGGCGAGAAGGGCGGGCTCGGGGTTTTTGATGGTAGAGAACATATCCGGAAGCCTCGTAAGCAGAGAAGTGATCACATCCTTGGATTCATATGGGTCGACAAAGAGTCCCTCGCTCAGAGGAACGAAGGGATCCTCAAGGTCAGGCATGATCATCATCTGAGCTTGATCCAGGGCAGGCTGTAGACTGTTAGTACAAGTTACAGCACAAAGTATCATCTACGACTCACATTGACGTTGTAAAAGTGAATGTCCTTGTCGTACGTGACAAATCCAACCTTGGCGCCTTCTGGTACCCTACGTTTCGGCTCTCCATTCTCATCCAACTCTTGATCTTCACCACCATATAGAGCAACACGGATACCCTCACAGAAAGCCTCGACATAACCCTTGTTGTAAGATTCTTGGGTTACATCGATAAGGAACAACCATCGCAATCCTACGGGCTCCCTGGTCCAGTACTCCTTAGGCACCACAAACTCTACAGTTCCTCGGTGAAGCTCGGGTCGAGTGTCACGATCAACTCGGACACCCTGTGGGTTGGTCGCAGAGAAATATTCGGGAGGAGTGTCGTTGGGGTATGCGCAGAGGTTGCAGACAAACTTGTTTCCACCCGAACGGAACATCATAAAGGGGTTCATATAAGCTCGGCATCGTCTGCATCGTGGGGGTCCAGCTTCACCAAAGTCGAGGACAGGAATTTCGGCTTCTCCAGCCTGCAGAGGGGCTAGCGGCTGCAGCAAGAGTCCCAGAGAAAGGCCAGTGGCCTGTAGAGCGTCCTGAGTAGTGGGGATGTTGTTGAGTGTGAGTCGAGTGTACTTCGGTGACGAGTTGCCCTGGTCGTAGGCAACAAACGAAACGGTCGAGGGAGGAGGGACATGTCGTTCGAAGGTGGGATAGACGTTCTTGAGGTAGTACTGTTGGATCGCATCTCGCGAGGCTGGTACGCTGGGCATGTCGTCAGGTGACACTCCCTTGGGTCCGCTGGTAGACACTGAGGCTGTACCGAGACCCTCGCCGACACCGGGTGTTCCAGCAACAGGCCCAGGGCCAAATGTTGGGTTAAGTGGCGCACTAAATTGGCTCTGACTTTGCATCTGAGGAGTTCCCTGGGGGCTTCCAAATTGACCCCCAAAACCGGGACCGCCAGGAACGCTGTCGAGAAACTGTGTAGCTGAGGTCCCTTGGGGAGGCATGCCATTGAAGGCTTGCGAGGAGCCGGTAGGTTCAACGGTGTGGTATGCATGACGATCCTTCTTCTTCCTTCTCGCTGTGCCGTGTCCATCTCCCAAGTTCATTCCACCAAGCTGAGCAGCCAGTGTAGCATCTTGTGATGGGGGAGCTTGACCTGGAGGAGCCTGAGTCTGAGGAGGTGCATAACCATATCCGGGAGCTGGTGCGGGAGAGCCAGTCATGGGCGGAGGCGCTTGCTGGCCTCCAAGATACTGGGGTGCTCCATATGGTGATGCTTGTTGTTGGTAAGGTGAAGGAGCGATTGGCGGTTGGAACTGTTGCGCAGAGGGTTGAGATGTTCGGTTAGGATCATTGTCGTCGATAACCTCGCCGTGTCCGAGAGCGTGGTACTGAGCGTAGTCGGCCATTGCGACGTTGAGGCTCGAGAAGCGAAAGGGACGAAAGTATCGAGGACGAGTATCGATCTATCGGATGAGCCGTGTGCCCAGTAAAGGAGACGTGGGGCAATGAAATGTACCGTAGGATGATGGATGGCGGTAGCTAAAGCTTCAGTAACATGAGACAAGAGAATTCGACAAAGAAATTATATGCAGAAAATCACGAACATGGTCTCCCAAGTTCGCACCCAAGCTGAAGATCTTCTTTTTCCTTCACTGAGGATTTCGGTAGCAGAATCGAGATGCTATCGTTGATGATAGGTGTCCTGCCTGCCTCGCTGGCCTTTTCTGGTGCACCTTCCGGTTGGACATTCTGGGCGATCGTGTTCCGTGTCCCACCTTACTCTGATTGGTAAGGCTTGGAGTATAAATTAGGATTTGCACTGTACATGTGGACTGTGATCTATAAGACGGGTCATGTGATGCTATAGCAGCAATTGATAAGTGCAAGTAATGATGCGCGTAGCCAACGATGTGATGCCATCGGTCTCACTCAACAACTGGATAAATTATTCTGTGTGTGAATTCATAATAGGGGCTTATAAAATCATATGAAGAGCCGCAAAGACATTTGCCATGCGGGCTCAACTTGGGAGGGAACTCGCCCCAATGTGTTGATGCTAACCTACACCTGACAGACCTGTAAAGCCGTTGGCTTTTGTAACAGTCCCGTCTTCCTGCAAGCTCGTGGGAGCACTAGAGGTAGTTCCGCTCTCTATGTTGTTTCAAGTACCCCCGATTGCTGTTTTACTATACCAATTATCTTTGTAGATGCTGTACTGGCTGTATCGATGTCAGAGATAGGATTGTCATGGATAACGATATTCACTGATAAGCTGTATCTTTAGAAACAAGATAGAGATCATTGCAGAAGGGTAGTGACCTTTTACCACAAACTCAGACAGTGCAAACACAGGCTCTCGGTGCAACAGGCCCATAAACGAATTACTAGTGTTCCTGTTTGAAGACAGGCCCAAGCCATGCCTGGGAAGCCCGCGATCAGGTGGGGTGGATGATCACGTCCTTACCACTAACATAACAGCGAGCAAAGTAGTGTGCAGATATCAAGTCAAGGTCAACACTAATATATTAAGATAGACAGACAGATATCTACAAAAGCTGGAGTATGTTTCATCTGATTTAGTGCCCAGACGATAAGGCTGTTGAATTGGGCGCAAGCTCTCATGATGCCACGTCCTGCCCCTCACTTGACGTAACGCGTCAATTGCAACGATGAAGCCCGAGATGAAGCTTCGAAGTGACTAGAAAAATCATTTCGATGAGGTTACAGGATGTTGACTCCATCCTCCCTTAAGTGTTGTAAGTAAGCTAAAGACCAATATAGAATGACGAAGAATAGCAATTGTCCAAAGTCAGATCTATCGTACACGCTTTAGTAAGTATGAACAGCAAGCATTACGGACATTGATTAGTTTGCTATAAGTGCCGCTTAATCCAACATGAAAAAAGTAATACCCATCATACTAAGAAAAAGTATGAAGTAGAAATTGAAAGAAGCACCTAAATGAGAGATCATGAGATGTGTGGATGCGAATCGTAGACTATTCACCATTCTGTGTTGCTTCTTTGACGCCTCCGACCGTGTAAGTCGTGATGCAACATCTTCGCCCTCTCAAGAGCCGATGGTGATATTTTATTCAACAAAAAAAAAGTCAAAATGTACTCAAGTTGCATCTGCATACTTCCCGACGACTAAATGATGCAAAATTGGCTTGTGGTGTGGTGTGTGGTGGTTTAGCGATCGGACAGTGGTGGGATGCGGATAGCTTCAGAAACGACGCGCGATGTTGAGAAATGGACTTGTGAGTGACTTTGAGCGATATGGATCATATTCTTATCGAAACGAGCCGGGATAACGTAGAAACTACACTATAATGGTCGCTGTTTCTTAAAAAGACATTGGAAAGCTTCACATGAGCATATTCATCACTGTATCAGTCGTAAATCGGAATGCGACAACGAGCATGGCTCATTCAATGGCCGCTCAACGGCTCTCGAGCGAGAAGGAAGCCTCATGTATCAGTCGCAACGAGCCAGCGAATCCTCCACCTAATTTGGAACGCAAAAGATTGCCCGAGACTCGCAGGAAGACAAAGAAATCAAGTCATTCATCTCTTGACAATGGTTGTCGAAGAAGCGAGAGAATCGAGGGAAATGGATGCTCGGGGGCATGAGTTGCGCTCGCATTTTGCCAGACTCTAGATCACACAGAGGTACACCTCACCCGAGGTGATGTCTGGGCCGGCCAATCAGAAAAATGGTCACTTGCCCAATATTATTTTGGCATTTTTGGTGCCCCATTTTCTCAAGTGCCATATCTTGGAGGGTCCAGGCTTGGCATCTCTCTAACTTTGATGAGCTGGGTGTGGCTGGACCGAAATAGTGCAAGAGGCTGTGAGTTATGCAGCGAGCTGCGGCCAATCCAGAAGCCCGATAAGAAAGTTCACGTGCTCTGTGAAGATCTTGACGCTCTTGTGCGCTGTTTTGTGCAATGGCATGCCAGCGGGTGCTAAGTGTGCATGCGCATTTTTAGTGTGGCGCTTTAAAATGCCCCTCCTCCCAATCGGGGCTAGTGGGGCTATGGCAGGTGAGCAAGACGGGAGAGTCGCGAAGATGTAAGAGGAGAGCAGCACAGGAGCAGGAGCTTGGGGAGGAGAGTGATTGCGCTCTGCCCCCGCCGAATATATAAACATGGCCCATCCCCTCCACGCGCCCGACCAAGATAGTTCTACTCGTCGTTTGCTCTCTCGTCTCTTAAACGTCTTCCAAAGCCTTCAATCGTCTTCAAACGTCTTTGTCGCGTCTCATTTATCGCCTCAACTCCACGTCTTTATTCAAAGCATCTCAACCCACACAATCCACCACAATGCCTGCCAAAGCCGCTGCCGCCGCTCCCAAGAAGTCTGGCCACGCCAGTTATCAGGTGAGTCCATTCATTCTGAAGATATTTCTTCTGGATTTGTCGCTAACACATCTATTTCAGGACATGATCACTGATGCCATTGTCAACGTATGTGTATTCTGAAAGCTACCCATTCATGTCGCGTCCATCATCGCGCACTCAGTCTTCGGTCGCGGATGAGGCTATCGCCACGCGCCCGACCGACCATTTTACCTCGTTCATTCTCTTTTATTCGTTTTCACTCACTAACGTATTTTCTTTGCATCCAACAGCTCAAGGACCGAAAGGGCTCTAGGTAAGCTTCATTTTTCAATTATCTTCTTCGTCGCGCAACGCACTCACGCCGTCGCCTTTCCCTTCCCTCTTTCCCACCAGTTGCTGACTCGCCACACAGCCGTCAATCCTTGAAGAAGTATGTCAAGGCCAACAACACTCTCAATGTCACCGACAACATGTTCGACTCTCTCTTCAACAAGGCCTTGAAGGCTGGTGTCGACAAGGGTGTCTTTGAGCAGCCCAAGGGTCCTTCCGGTGGTACCAAGCTCGCCAAGAAGCAACCTGAGGCTAAGAAGCCCGCTGCTCCTAAGAAGCCCGCTGCCGAGAAGAAGGAGGCCGCTGAGAAGCCTGCTGTCAAGAAGCCCGCTGCTAAGAAGACCGCCGCCCCTAAGAAGGCTACTACCGAAAAGAAGGCTGCTGCCCCCAAGAAGGCCGCCGCTGAGAAGAAGACCACTGAGAAGAAGGCTGAAAAGGCTGAGAAGGCTGAAAAGCCTGCTCCTGCCAAGAAGCCCGCTGCCCCCAAGAAGGCTGTTGCTACCAAAAAGGTATGTGTTGACTCAGCTGCTCTCGCACCACATCCTCTAACATTTTATCCAGGCCGACAAGGCTGAGAAGCCCGAGACAGCTCTTACAAAGACAAAGACAGGTCGCGTCACCAAGACCACCAAGGCAGCACCTGCAAAGAAGCCTGCTGCACCTAAGAAGGCAGCACCCAAGAAGGCCGCTGCCAAGGCGTAAATGATGCTGAGCAGTATTGAACTTTAATTAATGACGGCCACGGCGTTAAAGGATCTGTTCACGGCAAGGGTACGGCAAGTAAGGCTACTGGTATTTTGATGGTTTGGTTCGGAGCGCGGGATTATCGACTGTTTGTTTACACGTGCACGCGGAGAGTCGCGTCTGTATGATTCTACCCTCAGCCATCTCATTATGTTGCAGGTGGTACACTAGAAGTGAGGGTCATTTGTATGCGATTTTGTCCCCTGTATTATCTTATATGACACGGCACAGTCTTTTTACGGTGTGTCATGGTTCGAAACAATGCTGGAGGGGACGGTCGGCGTGTTTTTGGAGAGGGCAAAAGTCTCGGTTGTGGGTGAGGAAGGGTTGTTTGCGATTATACCACTGTCGCTGTTTTGAGTTATTCGGTTTGAACTACGAAATGAACATTTTTCAAAATTCCTCTTCATTCCATGACAATCGAAGATTTTCGGATATTCCGTGAGACATGAGCGAGCGCGATTATGGGACGCGCTGTCCGAAGGGCTTGTTTACATGGGTTGAGTGAAGCGTGTCTCGACTCTTGCCAAGGGGTTTCACGTGGGTCGTCAACATGTTCTGACTGACGAACGAAATAATAGATTACCTACGTGGAGGAAAAGGCTGTCTTGGGCGCCTAGCGCTTTAGATGGGTATGAAACGAACGCAGTCTAAGACGATAGTTGCCTGTTGGTGGTCTGAAAACTGTAGAGTTTTTACGCGTCAGCCTTGTTCTGCGTGTAAGTGAGCTCTGCTATATTCGTGTTCGCAGTTTTTTAAGCGCGAGTGCACATTCCAAGCCCTACTCGCTACAGTAGGATTGTTGCCTCGAGACAAGAGCTTTCTAGTCGTTCATCATAGTTGTCATCTTGCCTTGGCTGAGGTATTGGCACTCGCCGCCATATCATGGTTCGCTGACCTGCTGGTGAGGAATTGTAGTCGAGAAAAGTGGAACCATGAAACTTTTGGATTGGCACCCGTGGTGTCTCCCTAGGTAAAGAGACAACTCACTCCTCAAGTCTGAGGTACCAGTAGCTCTAGTATGGATTTTATGGATGTGAGTAGGAGGACACTCAGGAATACTTTAGAAGGGTCTTAGTAAGGAGTGCCATTCACAGATGACATGATAACTCATTTGTCGGCCTATGTGGTCAAGATGTTGAGTCTACAGTACTCTTCGCACATCCTCAGCAAGACACAGACAGATTGGGTCTCAGCGTCTATTTTCGAAACTGTGTCGTCCGGGGCGTGAGATGAGACATTTCAGCTACGGTTATCGACCTGTCGTCACAACTCACGTGCCTCAGGTCCCAACGTGAAGCTTAACCAAGCTCTCGTACCTGTACTTCCTTGCAGCGTAGATTACCGAGCGAAGAGCTATGACAGTACGTATCCTGCTTGTAGGGACCACAATGCCCAACGTCAGCGGTATTTCTGCCCCTCGTAAGCTCCCGGCTGGTCCGTGCTTCTTCATGCCCGTCAATGATCATCGCCTGTTCGTTCTGTTTCGTTCTCTTGAGTCGACTCTGTTCGTTGTCTCTCTCCCCTGTCCTATCCTGCCCTGTCCGTCAGTCCAGCCTATGTAAGATAGGCTTCTGTTTCGTGCCACGGACGGTTTATCCCCTGAAAGTGACTCGATTTCTGTGCTGGGCCCAGGCACCGTTAGCGATAAGATATTGACCCTGGGGCCTGAAGGCGCTGACGACTTCAGCCCACTTTGGACGCCTCTTGTGTGGCATCGCCAGATTTCTTTTCCTTTCCCCAGTGACTCAACAACTCGTTTGGTACAAGCAACTGTTCAGGTTGTGTGTGCTTAAGCATTCTTGCTGCGACGTTCCCCTCCAGCTCCTGACCGATCGTTCCGGGGGCCACTTGCTCCGCTGTGTTACGCCTGAACCTCAATTTCCTCACAAGGCTACTGGTTGGTACCTTGCCTACAAGACCCGTGCTTCTTTGACCTCAAAATCCTACTATTGTCTTGTTTTGCCTCGTTTCCGTCTCATCTGCGCTGCGCTGTTATTATATCGCTTCCATTGCCGCCTAATCTCCTCCACTCGGTTTCCCTGTCTTGTCCGCCGACCCAAGCTCTTGCCCGGCTGTGCCGAAGATGGCGGGCAGTCTCTGTTTGCATGCGCCTTGACCTATTATCGCATCAGAATCACCTCTCCATCTCCCCTGTGACGGAGACGATAAGCTCCAACTATAGCAGAACGAGACGAGACAGGCCTAAAAAGATCACCTGAGCCGATCGCGCAGAAAAATCTAGTCACTATGGCATCGTCTAATCCGTTTCGCAAGAGTGCTGCCATGACAGTAGACTCAGCTTCCTTTCCCAACTCAACATCCTCCGCCGCTTCTCGTTTCCCTGCTCTCGATCAGATTGAAACAGCGCCTACTCCACCGCCTCCGACCAGCTTTCAGCAAGTTGGCTCTTCAACAATTGACTCGAAATCTAAGATTACCAAAAAAGTCCGTGTACTATCACCCCCGCCGCTGTCTCCCGACTCTGCCGAATGGGCATTTGCGGCACCTTCTATTGCGCAACAGACTGCGAACCAACAAAATGAGGACGATCCGTTCGATGCAACGTCTACCGATGACAGCGACCGCGAAATGGTAGCTGCGGCTGCCCGTGGCTATGCTCCGAATGGCGGTCAGGGCATAGGGAACCCATTCAGCAAGACATTACGCAGCGTTGATTCCCCTGTCGCAGAACAAAAGCTTGAGCATGAGCGCAAAGAAGAAGGCCATGCCCTTAAAGCTGCTAATACAGCCAGAAGGTCTCTAGACGTCAATTCTTTCAAGCGATTACTGATGACGGGTAATACGGAGTCGGACAAGTCTTCGCCGCCGAAAATCCGACAGTCGATGCCGTCACCAGCCAAGAACACAAAAGACCGACCGTCTGTTTTCCGAAGAATTTCACATGATGATTCCAAAGATATATCGGCCCCCGAGAACGCACTCCAAGAGGCATCACTCATATCTGAAGAAGCCTCGGATACCCCGGAAGATGATATCGATCAAGAGAACGTTTCTGACTCAAGCGCTTCTGCCCAACTGAGCTCAAAGAACAGCAAGAGACCGCCGCCGCCACCTAGCTCGCGACATGGCAAGTCCATTAAGCTGGATCTGGTTGGTCAGGCATCTCGAGAACCTCTTGCGACACTGTCATCAGATATGAACAAACCACTTCCGCCCGCGCCGGTCAGAAGAAGTATGGAAGAAGGAGGCGACTCGCCGTTTGACCGTGAAGCAGCTGGCAAAGTTCCAGAGGCTGAAGGTGATGTGAGTTTGGCATCGCCAGAACCATCAGGTGGCAGCCGAAAAGCAGTTCCTGCACCACCACCTCGACGAGGTCACGCGAGAGGAGAGAGCAAGGTCTATGCGTCTGGTCTAGGCTTGACACAGCAGCAATTTGTGCACAATGAAGAGAACTTGTCACGGTCATCGTCTATGAGATCCCGACCTGAACACAACCGACGTGACTCACATGCAGCGGCACCTCCACCACCGCCACCAAGATCTCATCACACCTCGAGACAGTCGACGCAGATACCATTGGGGGTGGCCTCAAGCCTCACGGATTTGAGCCAATCGTCATCATCTCCGGCTCCATCACTGGATATCGATATGAGCACCACCTCTACGCCATCGCAGCTGCGTCAATCTTCCACAGTCGACTTAACACCCCCGAGAGATACGCACTCAGGAACACATCAGCCCGTGACGACAACAAAATCTTGGGCTCCACCACCACCACCACCACCTGCGCGAAACACATCTGTTCGACGGCCTGCGAGTATCAGAAGTGTTGACAGCAGTAGTCGGCGGATTTCATTCGAAGCAAAACCTCATAATCAGATGGCACCCCCTCCACCACCTCCAAGGCAACGAGGCAGCAGCCGTGGCAGCGTCGATGGACCTCGGAGGACGAGTCTTGATGGTGTAGGGAAGGCTGGATCGAGTCAAGTGGCCGAGGAGGAGCCTGACAGTGTCGCAGCGACAGTCGGCTCGGGTCCCACATCTCCGCAATCGGCAAACGAGCCAGGGAAGAGTGTTGACATCTTGGCTGACCTGGACGCACTACAAAGAGAGGTGGACGCCCTGCGGGGGAAACTGGGATGACGAGGTGCACGCATACATACGACGGAGATGCATGCATGCATGAAAGTGAATGGAAGCATGTTGGGATGTGTTGATGGTTGTACAAAAGAGGAGCGTGGCGACATGCAGTCGAAGCTTTAGTCTTGCTGGAGTGGGAGCTGAGGACGAAGGAGGCAAAGGAAGGAAGGAAGAAAGAAAGAAAGAAAGAAAGAAAGAAAGAAAGAAAGAAAGAAAGAAAGAGAGAACATAATATCCATGGATGTGACATTATGCGGGCGTTTTGATGGACAGGACTCTGGCACGATAGAGTTGTGTGGTTGGTCTTTGTTCTACTTTTTCTGTATGGGAAAAGGTGTTGTAGATGAATATCATGATGTCAGGCATGGCGAGTTGATTGAGTTGTCAGATCAGAGACAGAAGTTAGCATAATGGAAGTGATGTTTGACGATCATGATGAGAGTCGAGGATTGTATGTATGCATTCAGTCGTACTCTTGGATGACCGTATTGGTGTACTGTAGTGCTCGCCTCTACTCAGCCACCAGGACACATACATACAGTACAGTATACAACACACACAAACACACTACCGGTGAACTTAGATATGAGTCGTCAGGGAGACCCTGGTCATGAGCTAGCAGTTTAGCAGTTTGGCGTCTGAACCCCGAAGGATCCGTGACAGTTGAAACAGATGACCATGAAAGTGTAATTGTTTCTAGTGAGCGAGCACGGGAGGATAACAATATTATTGTAAGTAGTTGTGAACGCTGAATAATTAGCATTCTACTACTTGCCTAGCTATTCTTTTCTGTCCCTTTCCATGTGCGTACATATATTTATTTGTCGTCTACTCACTTCGTCATGTCGTATTGG